CCCGCGCCAACACATGAGCCTGCCACCTCGTAGCTTAGTGCGGCGACCTCCATCACCCACTACGAAGACGGGCCTTCACAGTGGCATGATGCCTCGAGGCAAGCATGCGTGCAGCACGGAGATGAGCAATACGGCGAGTGTAAGCAACGACAACGACGACCTCCACGGGATGTAGGATGGGGGATGAGGTGGGGGTTTAGAGAGGAAGGAGTTAGGCGGGAGGGAAAGGGAAAGGGAAAGGGAAAGGGGAAGAGGAAGAAGAGATAAGAGTAAACTGAGAGAGAAGACACGGTCTGAAGAGTGACGCCACGGAAAAGCCGATATTTTAACATCAATGATTTTGAAGACAGTTTCACCATTTTATATAGTTAATATAAAAATCTCGTAAATATTTGATAAGATTTTTAAATCGCATAAAGATGTCTTCAAGCTTGTAAAAAATTGAAGAAAAATTATGTATCCACTAGTTTGATATTTTTCTCTTGGAAGGCAAGATCGAAGCCATCGCAAACTTGCAGGTGGTCTTTTGCAAGTTTGGAAGCTCATCGCATGACGCCTAAATCGAGTCTTGACCACCGAGAATGACAAATGCTTAACGAGATTCTTGACTTGTCACAAGTGCTTGAGACTTTAATCTGCTCTCTTTCACTCTTTGACTCGATTTCTCTAAATCAAACACTAGGATTTAAACTTGAATGGTACAATCTCACAAAGAGATGTCCCCGGGAGAAAGGTTTCACAAGGCTTAGATATGTCTAATCTCACTAGGATTCACATCCCTCAAAAGGATAGGTCTAGGGGACATAGATACCACCATCACACGAAAACTAGTTATTATACTATGAGAATCAAAAGAGAGTCATTCAATTTTGATACCTACTAGCCGTTTGACCAGGAACAGATTTACATGTTCGAAACTTTCAGAGTACAACAATGCAGCGTGGATAGTTGAAAAACGTTATAATCTTAGTTTGTTTTGATTTTATGAAACCGGACACTTTGGAGATCTGCCAAAATTGGGTGGTCAGGTATGCAATATCGGAACATCAGCATTGCAATAATCAGCTCATGAAGTTAGAAACCCATGGAGACGACTCTCAAATCTCGTTTAGATTTTCTGGAGCAATAGAGACTTGTCAATACACTACATCTCCCTCTCGACATGACGTACCTGTCACCTTAAGGATAAAGAGTGAATCGACATTCAACCACTTGAGTTTTGTGTCTTCACATATGCCATTTCTTCTCATTTTTTCTTCTCGAGGGTTGCAATCTTGTTGTCTTAACAAAACCATCTTGGGCATGTGACCTGAACCGACTCAACCAATATGATTTAACTAGTGGCTTCAAGTCACTTCATATGATTCAACGATGATTTAATCCTCTGCAAAATATGACTCCTTGTAACTCGATTTGTTCACCAACTTAATGTAACTACTCTCTTATTCACCTTTGCCATGTTACCTCGATCGCCAAGTAGTCACATGCCCTTCACTTTCGCTTGGTCCTTTGAAACGCTCTCCTTGCTACTTTCACCCTATCGAGCCCTTCTCGTTTTGTTTTCAAATCAATATTAAGCATTCTTTGTAAAACATTATCGGTATTGATATCTAACTTGATTTCTATCCATTTGCTTTGACAATACTCCATATATACATGTATGCCACATGTTTGCACAAGGTCGTGTCGCTTTTCCTTTTTGTACCTTGGCTTGCCATTCCATCATAATAATATCCCGTTTGTTCGCCATACATTTGAGTCTTGATTTACTTAAAGCTCCACATTTTAAGAAATCAATATATTACTCAACATTTAGCAAACGTTAGTTATTGTTATTCGATTCCCCCCGAAACCATCAAAGGGCTAGATGCCCGCGCCAACACATGAGCCTGCCACCTCGTAGCTTAGTGCGGCGACCTCCATCACCCACTACGAAGACGGGCCTTCACAGTGGCATGATGCCTCGAGGCAAGCATGCGTGCAACACGGAGATGAGCAATACGGCGAGTGTAAGCAACGACAACGACGACCTCCACGGGATGTAGGATGGGGGATGAGGTGGGGGTTTAGAGAGGAAGGAGTTAGGCGGGAGGGAAAGGGAAAGGGAAAGGGAAAGGGGAAGAGGAAGAAGAGATAAGAGTAAACTGAGAGAGAAGACACGGTCTGAAGAGTGACGCCACGGAAAAGCCGATATTTTAACATCAATGATTTTGAAGACAGTTTCACCATTTTATATAGTTAATATAAACATCTCGTAAATATTTGATAAGATTTTTAAATCGCATAAAGATGTCTTCAAGCTTGTGAAAAATTGAAGAAAAATTATGTATCCACTAGTTTGATATTTTTCTCTTGGAAGGCAAGATCGAAGCCATCGCAAACTTAGTTTGATATTTTTCTCTTGGAAGGCAAGATCGAAGCCATCGCAAACTTGCAGGTGGTCTTTTGCAAGTTTGGAAGCTCATCGCATGACGCCCAAATTGAGTCTTGACCACCGAGAATAACAAATGCTTAACGAGATTCTTGACTTGTCACAAGTGCTTGAGACTTTAATCTGCTCTCTTTCACTCTTTGACTCTATTTCTCTAAATCAAACACTAGGATTTAAACTTGAATGGTACAATCTCACAAAGAGATGTCCCCGGGAGAAAGGTTTCACAAGGCTTAGATATGTCTAATCTCACTAGGATTCACATCCCTCAAAAGGATAGGTCTAGGGGACATAGATACCACCATCACACGAAAACTAGTTATTATACTATGAGAATCAAAAGAGAGTCATTCAGTTTTGATACCTACTAGCCGTTTGGCCAGGAACAGATTTACATGTTCGAAACTTTCAGAGTACAACAATGCAGTGTGGATAGTTGAAAAACGTTATAATCTTAGTTTGTTTTGATTTTATGAAATCGGACACTTTGGAGATCTGCTAAAATTGGGTGGTCAGGTATGCAATATCGGAACATCAGCATTGCAATAATCAGCTCATGAAGTTAGAAACCCATGGAGACGACTCTCAAATATCGTTTAGATTTTCTGGAGCAATAGAGACTTGTCAATACACTACATCTCCCTCTCGACATGATGTACCTGTCACCTTAAGGATAAAGAGTGAATCGACATTCAACCACTTGAGTTTTGTGTCTTCACATATGCCAATTCTTCTCATTTTTTCTTCTCGAGGGTTGCAATCTTGTTGTCTTAACAAAACCATCTTGGGCATGTGACCTGAACCGACTCAACCAATATGATTTAACTAGTGGCTTCAAGTCACTTCATATGATTCAACGATGATTTAATCCTCTGCAAAATATGACTCCTTGTAACTCGATTTGTTCACCAACTTAATGTAACTACTCTCTTATTCACCTTTGCCATGTTACCTCGATCGCCAAGTAGTCACTTGCCCTTCACTTTCGCTTGGTCCTTTGAAACACTCTCCTTGCTACTTTCACCCTATCGAGCCCTTCTCGTTTTGTTTTCAAATCAATATTAAGCATTCTTTGTAAAACATTATCGGTATTGATATCTAACTTGATTTCTATCCATTTGCTTTGACAATACTCCATATATACATGTATGCCACATGTTTGCACAAGGTCGTGTCGCTTTTCCTTTTTGTACCTTGGCTTGCCATTCCATCATAATAATATCCCGTTTGTTCGCCATACATTTGAGTCTTGATTTACTTAAAGCTCCACATTTTAAGAAATCAATATATTACTCAACATTTAGCAAACGTTAGTTATTGTTATTCGATTCCCCCCGAAACCATCAAAGGGCTAGATGCCCGCGCCAACACATGAGCCTGCCACCTCGTAGCTTAGTGCGGCGACCTCCATCACCCACTACGAAGACGGGCCTTCACAGTGGCATGATGCCTCGAGGCAAGCATGCGTGCAGCACGGAGATGAGCAATACGGCGAGTGTAAGCAACGACAACGACGACCTCCACGGGATGTAGGATGGGGGATGAGGTGGGGGTTTAGAGAGGAAGGAGTTAGGCGGGAGGGAAAGGGAAAGGGAAAGGGGAAGAGGAAGAAGAGATAATAGTAAACCGAGAGAGAAGACACGGTCTGAAGAGTGACGCCACGGAAAAGCCGATATTTTAACATCAATGATTTTAAAGACAGTTTCACCATTTTATATAGTTAATATAAAAATCTCATAAATATTTGATAAGATTTTTAAATCGCATAAAGATGTCTTCAAGCTTGTAAAAAATTGAAGAAAAATTATGTATCCACTAGTTTGATATTTTTCTCTTGGAAGGCAAGATCGAAGCCGTCGCAAACTTGCAGGTGGTCTTTTGCAAGTTTGGAAGCTCATCGCATGACGCCTAAATCGAGTCTTGACCACCGAGAATGACAAATGCTTAACGAGATTCTTGACTTGTCACAAGTGCTTGAGACTTTAATCTGCTCTCTTTCACTCTTTGACTCGATTTCTCTAAATCAAACACTAGGATGGGGGATGAGGTGGGGGTTTAGAGAGGAAGGAGTTAGGCGGGAGGGAAAGGGAAAGGGAAAGGGAAAGGGGAAGAGAAAGAAGAGATAAGAGTAAACTGAGAGAGAAGACACGGTCTGAACAGTGACGCCACGGAAAAGCCGATATTTTAACATCTCCCTTATCTTTCGTCAAGCCAAAGAAAACTCGATATTTTAACATTTCTCTCATAGTCTCGGCGTTATTTCCATGACTGCGATGTTATTCAGTAAATTCGCATAATTAAGTACGTATGAAATTATACCGACAGCCAGCATGACTGACAGCCAGCATGGTCATTTTATTTCGTACTCGCTACTCTTTAACAAACGAATTCTGCAATTTTAAACACAAACAAGGTAACAATGACAGGTGGGCCCACACTGTTCCATCCAACGTGTCTTCTCCCTTCCATCCCTAGAACTACCATCCGCTCGCGCGACGCGGACCATGCATCTCGATCATCTCCCGAGCCGACCAGCGCCCAGCGGCGCCAGAACCCAGAAGGTTCGCTCATGGCGCTCACGTCCATGCTCCCGTTCGCGCCCTCGAACACCTCGCTATCCTACTCCTCCCGCGCCTCAACCGCCGCCGCGTTCGCTCCTCGTGGGGTCCACTTCGCCGCGGACGGAAGGAGCGGCGGCGGTGGCGGCCAACCGCTCGCGTGCGCTGCGCCTCGCCGCCGCGGACGGGCTCCGAGGCGGCGCCGCGGAGGGGGCCTGGTGGTCTGGGCGTCGGCCGATTACTACGCGACGCTGGGCGTGCCACGCGCCGCGAGTAACAAGGACATCAAGGCCGCGTACCGGAAGCTCGCGCGCCAGGTGCTCGACGCTTGCCCCCTCCCATCCACCCCCACCATTTCTCGTCTCACTGGACAGTTGTGTAGTACTCATCATATTTGTTTGAGATTAATGCCCTGCTTGGAGTTCGTGCCAATAACAAGTTTGTAGCATAGTAGGTTCAACTCTCATCCAGTCCGGAAGGCCTTTTTTCTTCTTCTGAAATCCATAGTATTGTGTTTGAATGATGTATTACGTGCTAGAGGGTTAGGGGGAGGGTACCTGCATGCAGTTACAGGGATTTGACATTCACCCAGTACTTCATTGCTACAGTTAGAGATATATGGACACTTCAATGTGTCTGAATTGCCTAGCTAGTTGGTACTGATAATTTTGGAGTTTCACTATTGCATTGTAAATCCTAGCCCGATCATCACTTGAATAACCAATGTTCTGGCTCATGGGTATTTCATTGCTAATGATCGGTGGCTTAATTTGCTTGCTCATCCAGGTTTTTTGCTGTTGGAGTGTTGTTTTTATGCAATGAACGATATTATGCTCTTAGCTGTAGTTTCTGTATGCCTGCAATACCTAAATATTTGAAGCCTGAAGGTCTGCTAACATGCTTCCTTGCTAGTTTTTGTGATCACTCAGACACTCACTGTAAAATTTCTAGAAGTAAATATAAACCAGTTAAACCAATGAAAGATTATTTGAATATTTAGGTGAAATGTAACTATCTGCACAGGTCAACAATGCATTGTACATTGATCCTGTGTCTTTCAATGTGTGGAGAAAATTGAAACTCATAATTGTAGTTTAGTCCTGTGCTCACAATGTAACATTTTATTAACAGCATCTAGACTTACGCCATTCCACCATAATGTTTACAGTTCGTGTGGGTTTCAACAGTTTAGTCGATATCACAGCTCTTATTTCCCTTCATTGGATAAGATTCTTTATGATTGCTTCTAGATACATAAAAGCTCCATTCTGGTCTCTACTGGCATCTGTGTGCCATTCACGATCTGCCAGCGCCTTTGCTGATTGTTGTTAGTCATCACGCTTGGAGCCTAGAACCTTACACCACCCTGAGCTACTATTAGGGAAAGACTTGCATATGCAATCCTTGTATCACTTATACCTTCTATTTTTGGAACCATCAAAGTTGCATAGGAGGACTTGTAACTTCAGCGGATTGGACGATAAAATGTGATTTTGCAGAAGCCAGACCTCCGCTATAAATATTCTTGTGCATATTACCATACCTACCAATGTTCTCCTTTTGTTTGACATTGTTAAGACTGAAGCTAGAGCGACATCCTTAGTAGCCTAAAGCGATCCTCTTTTCAACCAGAGTATTTTATCTACTCCATAGATTAGGTTATTGGACCTAAAATACCCCACTTAGCAGGCACTCAATCTTTTGATTCGTAGCTGACTGTCTGTTTATCTTTCAATCTACCAAGTGAAAAGTTTTGATTTGTCTCTAGTTTTTGAATGCTCTCAGTACATACTATAGATTAAGTTTTTCATGGGAAATAAATCGCGACATCTTTTTTCTCTGTCTTTAGTACCATCCTGATGTCAATAAGGAGCCTGGAGCGACAGAAAAGTTTAAAGAGATAAGTGCAGCATATGAGGTATGCAATTTTTTTTAACAAGTATGAGGTATCCAGTATTTTGCTTAACATGTTCTATCTACTATTCTGATTACCAGATGGTATGATTTAAGCTTAGAGAATAACCTTTTGGCTATTATGAAAATTGGCTGAAAACCTCCCGTTGTAACAGACCCTTGAGGTTTCAGTCGATAGCTGGCTTCCTGACGCCGATGATTAAAAAATTAATGCACAGCTTATTAATCGACCAAGTAACATACCATTGCTGTGAATATGTGGTACTATTTCTGAAAATGGTGAATTTCCCATTCAATAGTTAACTATTTTTAACATAGTAGTCGTAATCTACTTTAAAATTATAAGTTCTTATTCTGTTCTCAACTTCCCACTAGTCTGGTGCTACTTTATATGTGGACTCAAATATGAAAAGTATCTGACCACATTTCTGATGCTTTGCATCTATAAGTATGGTTAGTGCTGTGCTACTGTTCTTATCCAGTCAACCTAATATTCGGTTGGACGGCATCGCCTCTATCAAATGGTTCTATAGGTTATGTACTCTCCATTATTTGATGGATTATTCATTATTCAATCAGAGTTTTGATTCTGGTCTTCTGTTTACTTCCTTCGGACATTTTGTAGTACTGAGTTTCATTGTCATTAGGTGCTGTCAGATGAAAAGAAGAGGGCGTTGTATGACCAATATGGTGAAGCTGGGGTTAAGAGTGCAGTTGGAGGCCCGGGTGGAGCTTACACAGTACTAGTTTTCCACACACACTCTCTCTCTCTCTAAAAAAAAGAAAGAATCTAAGTGTTCTTTATATCAATATTCATTCAAGTTCCTTAGCTTGAGGATACTAGAGCCGTGCCAAACGGGGCCTAAGTGTTATTAGATCTTGCGATCTTTTTGGTTAACCAAGTTTTCTTTGTTTTCACCAATCTTTTCTTCCATGCAGACCAATCCATTTGATCTGTTTGAGACATTCTTTGGAGCAAGCATGGGTGTTTTTTCTGGCATGGGCCAGAGCTCGTTTAGGACAAGCAGGCGAAACACTGCTGTTCAGGGTGAAGACATCAGGTTTGTCGCCACTTGCAAGGCATGTTGAAGTGAGATAATACTTAAGATCAATTGTGTTTCTTTTTCGAAATTGTTTGCAAATCTAATTTTTAATTGACTGCAAATTGTTGTAGTTAGTATCTGTAAAACCTCAAATATGCAGTGTTATTTGCCTGAATGTAATATGCAGCATGCACTGTTTCATTATCTGGTACTGCCATACTGGCATAAGCAAAATGCTTGGATCCCCAGAATAATAAACTGCTTGGTAAAAGTATGCTAAAATCAAGTTGTATCCTTTGTTCCATCCTTATGATAAAATTTTGAGATATTTGTCTGTCGCCTGTTGGTTTTCGTATTCTGGTAGCCACGTGATTGCAACCTGTTTTCCTATACACTCGGAGTCTCAGATTTCTACAGCTTTTATCTGCAAGGCTGCAAAACAACACCTCTCATCAAATACTTCTAGAATTCTAGAATAATGCAAATATAGCAAACCCGATACTTTCAATTATGTGGACCAAAACCAGTAACTGGGTGAAGTAGGGTGGGTAGGTTGGGGAGCAGTCTGTTCTTGCATGCCTTTTCTAACACTGTTTGGTTCGTTTGTCTGCCTGTATCTTTCTTTTTTTTTTGTATTATTTGCAACCCTATAAATATATCAAATACTGCATTTAGTGCTAGTTCTGCTACATTGTTTGTTTTGTGCTCTAGAACAGAACAGTTACAGGATCAGTGTAATTCCTAAACTGACACAAATTTATTTGATCAGATATGATGTGATTCTGGGGTTCACAGAGGCGATATTTGGAACAGAGAAAGATATTATATTATCTCATTTGGAAACATGCGATACATGTGGTGGTTCTGGATCAAAGGATGGTTCCAAGATGAGAATATGTTCCACATGTGGTGGGAGAGGGCAAGTAATGCGAACTGAGCAAACACCATTTGGTCTGTTCTCTCAGGTAACCATGGAGCATTCCTATATAGACTGTTTAACTTAATAACATTACTTGTGAGATTTACAGTGAAGACATGGTTGCAATAACATGATAGCTTTCATGCCGCTTGTTTGTGCGGAGTGTCCTAGCATTAGCATTTAAAGTTTCCCACATGACTGTGGAGGCTCAAGGTCTCCTTTTCTTGAACGCGCAGGAAAGCTATGTGTCATTTGATTGAAGAGGAAAAAAAAAGGGTACAGAGAAGAAACACCGAAACACAACACACACACACCACAACAATAATAACAACACACACATGGATTCTAGGAACTTTAAACAACTGTGGCACGGACAACAAAAGGACGACCACAGCACACAGTGCTAATACCAGGGGGTGGGGGGGGGGGGGGGGGATAGAATAGCCCAGTGACCCAGTTCCTGAGACCCCCAACCCTGGCAGCACGTTAATCACTGTTCTGACCACCATAGTTACAAAGTGGCATTGCTAAAATCACAGTCGTTATGATGCTTCGACAGTTCCCAAGCAGCAAGGATGATAAGAGTATTAAGGTGTTCCTGCGTGTTCGAGAAAAAAAAGAGTATTAAGGTGCCAAGCTCAAGGTCTCAACATTAGCCAAAAATAAACTATGCCTATAGCCTTTGGATCACCTGAATTTCTATGTAATGATTTTACCTCGATTTGATTCTGTTGCAATTGGTGATGGTCACATTATTTATTTATTTTTATCTTGTAGGTTTCTATTTGCCCCACTTGCGCAGGAGAGGGCGAAGTCATTTCAGAGTATTGCAGGAAATGTTCCGGAGAGGGGCGTATCCGTGTCAGAAAGGAGATCAAAGTTAAAATCCCTCCAGGAGTCAGCAAAGGCAGTACTCTTCGTGTACGTGGGGAAGGTGATGCAGGACCAAAAGGGTATGCAAAGCACTTAGACTGAATGTTTAACTTCTTGATTTTCATGCTTGAACATTTCAAAATACTTCAAGAGTTCATTGCTGTCTTAGATACAATTAAATGGATCTTTTGCATTATGCTACTGATTTGAGATGCTCATTCTTGTACTCTTGTGCCATCTATTGCGTAACTTTGGACTAAACATTTGCTGAGAACATGATAATAGTTAAATGTGTGAGAGAGATAAACTCTGAATAGTATATGTTAATCAATCACAGATTACAAGGGATTACAATATATAGGCAGGAGAACTCAAGGGTTCAAGGTGTGAACACAATCTAGGAACCTAATTAACTCATACTAAATAGCACAAGTGCCTAGCCTGGCGCATGGCTGTATCCAGAGTCCAAGGCGCAGACACAATAGACTAGGAGGCAAACATAACTTGCTAACAGCCCCCCCCAGTCTGAGCATTGGTGCAGCGGACGTTCAGACTGGTTCTAAACTCTGTGAAGAGCGAAGATGGCAATCCTTTGGTGAAGATGTCGGCATACTGAGAGGTGGTTGGAACATGAAGAACTCGAACAACACCAAGAGCAACATGTTCCCGAACAAAATGGAGATCAATCTCGATGTGTTTAGTCCGCTGATGCTGGACTGGGTTGGCGGACATGTAGACGGGCGCCGATGTTATCACATGAGACCAATGTAGCACGCACTGCAAGGGGGACTGTAATTATTTGAGAAGTTGGCGCAGCCTGACCGAGAGCTCTGCAATGATGTTGGCAACGGCGCGATATTCAGCTTCGGCACTGGATCGGGACACGGTGTTTTGGCGTTTGGAGGACCAGGAAATGAGGTTATCACCAAGGAAGACCGCATATCCAGAAGTGGACTTGCGAGTATCCGGGCAGCCGGCCCAGTCAGCATCAGAGTAGGCGACCAGCTCATGTTGGGATGAGGGGCGGAGCTCCAGCCCCAAATGTAGAGTCCCGCGAACATACCGAAGGATCCGCTTGAGGGCAACCAAGTGAGGTTCCCGTGGATCATGCATGTGGAGACACACTTGCTGAACAACATAAGCAATGTCCGGACGAGTGAAAGTGAGGTACTGAAGAGCACCAGCTAGGCTGCGAAAATCAGAGGGATCCTGAACTGGGTCACCACTTACTGTAGATAGCTTTGGATTGGTGTCAACTGGAGTAGAGCAGGGTTTGCATTCAGTCATACCAGCCCGGTCAAGAATCTCCATCATGTATTGTTGCTGAGACAAAAGCAGACATCCATCCCGGTGCTGAACTTGCATTCCAAGAAAATGGTGTAACTTGCCAAGGTCCTTCATGTTGAACTCACGCTGTAGGGCAGATATGATGCGACGGAGGACAGCTGTGGAGGAGGCAGTGAGGATGATGTCATCCACGTACAGCAGCAAGTATGCTGTGTCGGCACCATGATGGTAGATAAATAGGGAGGTGTCTGTCTTGGCATTCACAAATCCAAGTGAGAGAATAAATGTAGCAAAGCGACTGTACCATGCTCGAGGAGCTTGCTTGAGACCATAGAGAGACTTGTTGAGTCGACAGACATATCCGGGATGAGTGGGATCCTCAAAACTAGCAGGCTGTGCAGCAAAAACAGTTTCAGACAGGGTCCCGTGTAGAAAGGCATTCTTTACATCGAGCTAGTGAACTGGCCATCCGCAGGAGAGGGCGAGGGAGAGCACTGTCCGAACTGTGGCGGGCTTGACAACAGGACTGAATGTCTCGTCAAAGTCGATCCCCGGGCGCTGAGTAAAGCCTCGGAGGACCCAACGAGCCTTGTAGCGCTCTAGGGACCCGTCAGCCCTGAATTTGTGCTTGAAAATCCATTTACCAGTGACAATGTTGCCTTGAGACGGTCGAGGAACAAGCTCCCATGTGTTGTTCTGAAGAAGAGCAGAGAACTCTTCTTCCATGGCAGCCCTCCAATTGGGATCAGTAAGGGCACTACGGAAGCTGCGGGGCACCGGTGATAGTGTTGTGCTGTTGTAGACACTAGGAAACCGGTGACCAGCTTTGGCGCGTGTTGTCATGCTGTGATTGTTGACGGTGGGCTGCACAGACACGGCGCCCTTGGGCAGAGCCAGCGGGCTGGAGGCAGCCGGTTGCGGAGGAGGAGCGACTGCCTGGCGCTGTGAATACACCAGCAGTGGTCGAGGCCTGACGGGGGCTGCTGCAGCAACGGAGGGACCTGGGGCGCCGGGGGCTGCAGCAGCGCCTGGAGCTGCAGCAGCAGCAGGCGTAGATGGAGCGGCCTGCCGGGCTGCAGCAGCGCCTGGAGCTGCAGCAGCAGCAGGTGTAGAGGGAGTGGCCTGCCGGGCGCCTGATATCGGTGAAAGAACCTTGCCCGGCACCGGAGTGGCAGCTGCTGTCTCGACGGCTGCACCCTCACTGAATGCCACACGAGGACAGTCCGTGCAGGGTGCTGATGGCGTGCCGACAGGGGTGCTGCTGCGTGGTCGTCTGCAGGAAACACCAACGGAGGTACCAGAGGAAATAAAGGTAGTGGTGCATCGGGCATGGGATCAAAGCATCATCGGTTAGAAAATCGAAGTCCATTGGATTGGGAGGAGTGGGCTCTTTGGGAAAGGGAACGAGTTCTCATCAAACACGACATGTCGAGAGATGAGAACACGATTGGTTTGAAGGTCGAGGTAGCGGTATCCTTTATGGTTGGAGGAATAGCCAAGAAAGATGCACAAGGAGGATCGAGGTGCAAGATTGTGGGTGGTTGTGGCGGAAAGGTTAGGATAGCAAGCGCAGCCAAAAGACGCTGAAGATGGTCGTATTGGGGCTGAACACCAAACAGAGAATGAGAGAGAGGTGTGGAGGAGTGAAGGGTTTTGGTGGGTAGGATGTTGAGAACATGTGTGGCGGCGTGTAATGCTTCAACCCAAAGATGAAGGGGGCATGCAAGCTTGAAAAGAAGAGAGCGAACCGCATTATTGATGGTCGCGGATCATGCGCTCACCCCTTGCCCATTCGAGATGAAGTATATGGACGGGGACATGCGAAGGTGGATGCCGTTGGTGAGGAAGAAGGAGCGGGAGATAGAGTTATCGAACTCCGGCCATTGTCTGTGGATAGCTTTTACAAATGATTGCCATCTTGAAAAGTCGAACATAGGCGAGAAAGTTAGTTAGAGTGGTAAACGTGTTAGATTTGAGACGAAGAGGAAACGCCCAAACATAGTGGGAATAATCATCGAGTATAATTAAGTAGTATTTGAAGCCAGAAACACTAACAACCTGGGAAGTCCATAAACCACGTGAATGAGCTCAAATAAATTAGAGGCCCGAGAAGATGATGTTTGAAACGGAAGGCGTGTATGACGCCCTAAGCCCGACACGCATGACAAATAGAACCAAGTTCTTTAGTGCACCGGAATAACGGGTGACTTTGGACAACGTGTCACGACCGGGATGGCCAAGCCGACGATGCCAAAGTGCGGTGAGAATCGGCAAGAAGGGCGTGTGGCGCCGGGGAGATGTAATGGGTAGAGGGCCCGGAGCTATTGCACCGATGATCATCTTTTGAGACTCCGGATCCTTCACAGAAACAACCAGCGAGGTCAAATTCAACAAAGACAATTGTTGTCGGTGGTGAATCAGGCGTCTTGAAATGAGGTTTTTAATGAGGCGTGGTGAAACAAGAACATTATTGAGGGACAGAGAATCGGTGAGAGTGGTGGTGCCAGTGGCGGTGACAGGAAGTAAGGAGCCATCACCGACAATGATAGAAGAAGGAGAAGGATCCTGTGAAGAGTTAGGGTGTGAAAGAGTCGAGAATCGAAGTCATGTGGGAGGTGGCACCTGAGTCGAAGTACCATTCGTTGTTCGGCGGCTGCTGTAGTGTCATGGTGCTGAAGGTGGAAGCAAAGGATTGCTGATCGAAGGCCGCCGGAAGACCGGTTGGAGAGGTGTAGAAGCCGGGAGGAGCCGAGGTGCCGAAGAAAGGCACAGGAGCACCCTGCTGACCGTAGAAGGCAGCAGGAGAGAGCTTCTTCTGCAGTCTTCTTCTTTGAAAGCAGTCTTTGGAGGTCTTCTTCTGCTGAAGCCGTGAAGGCTCTCACAGTTGCCAAGCCAACGCTTTGTTGGTGTGGTGGTGGCTGGGTGGGTGCACCGCGAAGCAGAGGACGCGGCCCGGGGACAATGAGCCACGGGTTGTAGTGGGTGGGCCAAGACCCACTCGCCCCCTGGTTGGATGGAGCAGACGTGCCTGAGCCGCCGCCTTTGCCGCCCCTGTGGCCACCGTTGCCGCCTCGGCCCCGAGCGCCACGACGATTGTTTTTGCCACCAAAGCCGCCCCCTTTGCCACCCCCAGGCTCGGTGTTGGGATGCCCAGAAATCTGCTGGGAGGCGGGACGAGGGGACGAGGAGCCGCTGCCTGTGCTGGCGACGAGAGCCGTGGGAGGAGACGGAGTCGGGGCCCCCATGGTAAGCTCCTCGAGAGTGAGCTCATCACGAGGGAGCGGTCGCTGACGGGTTCACCCAGATCAGCGAGGTTGTCGGCGGTGGTCTTGAGAAGCTTGCAGTAGTCGGTGACAGATAGGTCCCCCTGGACAAGCGTGCGAAGTTTGGCGTCAAGAATGAGAGCGCGCGGCTCCCGGTTGCCGAGAAATTGGCTCTCAATGGCAAGCCAGGTGGTACGGGCAGTGTCGCCTTGGTCGCCGCGATGCCGGACAATGTCGTGGAGATTGTCGGAGAGGGTGCCGTAGAGCCAGGAGCGGACGACGCAGTCCATGCGCTCCCAGTCTGGCGAGTTCAGGGGACGATCGTCCTGAAGAACATGGCCCTGAAGGGAGTACTTGCCCAGGGCGAGCAGGAATTGCTCGCGCCACCGAGCGAAGCTGGCGGAGGTGACGTCGAGAACGACGCGGACAGGATGATGGATGTTCTGGACGGCCACAGCTTGGGCGTGCAGGCTAAGAACAGCAGTAGCCTCCTGAAGAGCTATGGCGGCCTGAACTGAGGTACGAGGGCCATTGAAGAGGGAGGACGCGACCTCGTCGCAGTCCTCTGGCAGATCTTCAAGGGGAGGGTCGGCAGCGACCCGCTCCTGGGCCGCGCACTCCAGGGCGGCGCGGACGCGCGCAGCCACAGCGTCGCGCTTGTTTGCCGCGTTGGCGGCCTCGGCTTCGGCCTCTTTGGCGAGAGCGAGAGCGGCGCGACGGGCGGCAGCCTGGGCGGCGCGGGCGTCCTCCTGGCGCTTGCGCTTGGCCTCGTTGTCAGCAGCAGAGGGGTGAAGGGAGCCGGCCATGGCGGAGAAGGGAGGGGCGGCGCAAGGGGCATCACGCCGGAGGCGGCGGCGCTAGAAGCGGCACGCCAGAGAAGCGGAAGGGAAAACGGGTGTGACCCGGACTCGTGATACCATGTGAGAGAGATAAACTCTGAATAGTATATGTTAATCAATCACAGATTACAAGGGATTACAATATATAGGCGGGAGAACTCAAGGGTTCAAGGTGTGAACACAATCTAGGAACCTAATTAACTCATACTAAATAGCACAAGTGCCTAGCCTGGCGCATGGCTGTATCCAGAGTCCAAGGCGCAGGCACAATGGACTAGGAGGCAAACATAACTTGCTAACAAAATGTCACGGGGCATAGGTGTTTAATTAGGCGAAAAGATGTATTTTCCAATGGTATTACCCATGAGATGTATAGTTGTATACTAGATTTGATTTTTTTCCTTCTTTGTTCCAAGTAGATGAATGTAAGTTTATAGTCTCCTTTTTTCTTCTTAATATAATGATACACAACTCTCCTGCGTGTTCATGAAAAAAATGTAAGTTTGTAGTCTCTGGCATTTTGGATTAGGTCTCGCACTTGTGCTTTCCGATGAAGTTATTGTGTGGAATCAGGAGCGCACATGAATGCAGAGTAGCTTAATGCGTATGCATTAGTTTACCTATTCAAGGAAGCCATGATATTAAAGGAAGTTATGCTACAACTGCAGTGCAGAAAAACCTCAAAAAAATGTTCAGATATCTCTATGCCTATAATCACTAGCATACATGAATGCAGAATGGCTTATGTTGCCTATGTATTAATTTATCTTTTCAAGGTGGCTGCAAGATTGAAGGAAGTTATGCAACAACTGCAGCATAGAAAGTGTTATGGGGCTTCAGTTAGGGGCCCAGGGGCCCATAGGATCCCCTGGGCCCCTAACTGATGCCCCATATAATAGAAAAATGACTCAAAAAGTATCTTCACATATCTCTAAGCCAGTGTGTTCCTGCATTGCTTTAGCTTGAATGCAATTTATCTTGTTCAAATTTCTGATCATCTGCCTTCTATATATCTCTTTGCATGGATATCCAATCATTTCATCCTTTTGAAAACAGTGTGCCTCCTGGAGATCTCTTTGTTTGCCTTGATATAGAGGAACCATCAGATATCAGGAGGGATGGTATAAACTTGTATTCAACTGTGTCAATAAGCTATCTTGAAGCTATTTTGGGCACCATTAAGGGGGTAAGATCTTTCTCACTATGATTATCAGTTGTGATCTTTAGTTAGTTTCAGTCGTCAATTACTACCTTGTTCACTAACAACAACAACAACAACAACAACAACAACAACAACAACATAGCCTTTCAGTCCCAAGCAAGTTGGGGTAGGCTAGAGTTGAAACCCACCAAGAGCCCCAAGTCACGGTTCAGCCACTTCAATATCTACTTTCTAAGTACTCCTATTCAAACATAGATCTCTAGGTATATCCCAAGCTTTCAAATATCTTTTTATTGCCTCTCCCCATGTCAATTTCGGTCTTCCTCTACCTCTCCTCATATTATTAGCTTGGCTTAGGACTCCACCATGCACTGGTGCCTCTGGAGGTCTCCTTTGGACATGGCCAAACCACCTCAACCGATATTGGAGAATCTTTTTCAATTTGTGCTACCTCTAGGCAATCACGTATATCATCGTTCCGAACTCGGTCCATTCTTGTGTGACCGCAAATCCATCGTCCATCGCAACATACGCATCTCTGCAACACTCAGTTGTTGAACATGTCGAATCTTTGTAGGCCAACATTCTACTCCATACAACATAGCCGGTCTAATCGCCGTTCTATAGAACTTGTCTTTTAGTTTTAGTGGTACCCTCTTGTCACAGAGAATGCTAGAAGCTTGTCGCCACTTGATTCACTCTGCTTTGATTCTATGGCTAACGTCCGCATCAATATCTCCATCCATCTGTAGCATCGATCCCAGATACCGAAAGGTATCCTTCTTAGGCACTACTTGACCTTCCAAACTCACATCTCCCTCCTCCTGTACAACTCCGCTAAAGTCGCATCTCATGTATTCGGTTTTAGTTCTGCTCAATCTAAAACCTTTAGACTCAAGGGTCTGCCACCATAACTCTAGTTTCATATTTACTCCCGCCTAGCTTTCGTCCACTAACACTACATCATCAACGAACAACATACACCAAGGGATATCCCCTTGTATGTTCCTGATAACCTCATCCGTTACCAAGGCAAAGAGATACGGGCTTAAGGCTGACCCTTGATGAAGTCCAATTTTAATCGGTGAGTAATCTGTGTTACCATTGTTTGTTTGAACACTAGTCACAACATTGTTGTACATGTCCTTGATGAGGGTCACGTACTTTGGTCACGTACTTTGATGGGAAACCTTGTTCAGTAAACAACTATTTTTTCCCCATAGAGCAGAACAAATGTCTGGAACTTGTCCACTTCACTTGATAACTGGAGGACAGAAACATGCAAAACTTGATATTCCTTATAGGCAAAATAGCTTGGTTACTTTATTCCAATGCTGATGCAATCAGCAACCTTCAATTTGAGGTGTATGTGAGACCCTCTTCTCCCTGCTTTAACACAATACTTGAAGCAATGCTGATTGCACTTTCAGTGATATATAAAGTCTGCCAAATTGATTTGCTCAAACTTACACAAGTTTAGTGCCTTTCCAACTAACACAGATGGTTGAGAGTAGACTAATTGTTGGTAGATGTTTGTTTCAAAACATGAAAATATGTCTTTGAAATGGTTCTTCTGATATAAATTATATAGGTCTGTGTAACCGTTCCTTTCAATTTCTTTTATGAGCAGGTCAGAACTGTTGATGGAACCAGTGGCCTTCGAATACCTCCAGGTACCCAACCTGGTGATGTAATTGTCTTAGCGAAGCAAGGAGTTCCATCATTGAATAAGCCGTCTATACGTGGTGATCATCTGTTCACTGTTAAAGTTACAATACCCAAGCGCATAAGGTGAAAATATGCTTTCTGACTTGATCCTACCTTTTAATTACTTACCACTATCCTAGAGTTGGTGAGCCACATAATTTCTCAGTTAATATTTCTTAATTACTAATTTTCTGTTTCTTCCAGTCGGCGTGAAAGGGAATTACTTGAGGAACTTGCATCTTTGAGTAATGGTGGCTTTGCTCGAACAGACGCCAAGCCAAAACCTGCCCAGCCAAAACGTATACATGCTAATCACTCTATTTCTTTTCCTCAGTCCTTCCCTTCCCCTGTCCCCACAACAAAGAATTTATTCTTATTTTGGATTTTTACTATCAAAAGTTTGTTGGTGTCTCGTCGGTATCGCTTGATAAGGAATAGGATTTCCTTAAAAAGAAATTGAAGTCTTACATTTGTTATCTTTGTTGCAGGCGTACATCAAGAGAAAGAAGTAGGTGCTAGTCAAGAAGATACAGACAAATCTAAAGAAGCAGAGGGTGACTGGTTGAAGAAACTTACAGATTTTGCTGGGTAACTTTTTAAATTTGATTTCACTACAGCATAAAAAATCATGTGATGATTATGTCTGTTCATCCTGCTGAAAATAGGGTTTGTACTGTCTCTTTTTCTTAAACTATATGGTAGTGAGGTAATGCCACGCTGAACCAAAAATCATTATACTGAGCATATAGGTTTTGTACTGTCTATTTTTCCTGTTTTGGTGGTATAAACTCGTATTGTGATCTTTCGGACATAAACTACGTTGTTGTTTATGGCAGACGTTACATTTCCATGTGCTCATTAAAAGGGAAAAAATTACAAATATAGTAATGGGAAGTTTGAATGCAGATGCCTGTTCTGTTGAAATGTGAACCAACCTAACTAAATCTTGTAATAAGCTATATTGTTGGTTTGGTTGCAGCATTACAGTTCCAAGTATTCTTTAAAAGGGGAAATTACAAATCTAGTAATGGGAGGTTTGAATGCAGATGCCTAACTTCTGTTGAAATTTGAACCAACATAATTGTGTTAGTTGTGTTTGAGAAAAATAATAGGTTGACCGAGTTCGAGGAAAAACAATGTTGATTGAATTAGTTCATCAGACATTTTTGTGTTTGGGTTCTCTCTTGTATTCTGACCAAGTTCTTGAATTCTTTCAGGTCCATTGTTAATGGTGCTGCAAAGTGGCTGAATGACAACCTGTAGGCGTGTAAATATTTACTGCAGGATAGAGGATTGTCTTCAACTACCATGTTGCTGTAGTCCAATCTGCAATTCTTAGATTCATTGGGGTCCCTACTAGCTCGTACATTCGTTGTGTTGGAGAACTTCAAGATTTTCAGGCTGTGAGTGGCAACCGCGGGAGTGAGAATTGTGAACCAATATTGTCGGCGCATTGATCCCTTTATCATTCTTGCAAAGCAATTATTTTTATGTAGAGTTATTTCAGATTGGCAAGTGCATGCAGCAGTCTGAAGTTGTGGGATGCTGATCTCAAACCCCGAGACTAGACAACACTGTAAATATGTTCCATTCCTGATTCTGTACTTGAGGTTTTGGATTAAGCAAATTCAAGATCAACGGACAATCTTTTTTCTGATTTCTGAAGCTGCGAAGCTTGCATTGAGGACGGCCTCAAAAGAATTTATTCAACAGAGTTGCAAACTTTTTCATCTTACAAAATGCGATGGAACTATTATTAGAAAGAAGTTTCAATGATCTCGAATTCTTGGTTTCGAGTAGTCCTCGAACTGTATCAGTCCGCCGAGCTCGCTTTGAGCAAAACCAAGACTGCAGCTACCACTGGCAGGGACACCATCAGCAGAGCTACCACAATGTTTGGCCTTGTGATGCCCGGGAGCAGGATGCTTCCGTACTTTATGACCGCGGCGCCACCAAGGGATCCAAGCACCAATGTCCACAGATAGCCGGAGTCACCCTATTCATCAGCACATGACAAGGAAGGAAACAGACTCAACAGTCAAGATCTTTTGCTCGTGAAACACACACATAAATAGCTGACCCAAGTATGAAAATAGTATCACTTCCAAGCGTCGCTGATATGATATTCTGATGTCAGGAACACACGAATTTTATATGAATTATACAAGAATCAGCACCAGTTCATTTTCATATGAGAAACATAGGAAACAGAAAAATTTCCTACGTTTTTTTTTTGAGGAAGTGAAAATTTTCCTACGTTCCAAAGAGGCCCAAGGAAACTGAAGCTCTGGAATAAACCAATCCATTGCTTCAGAGAACGATCCTCACAAGAGAAGATTCAGAGAACAGTCCTCACTAGAGAAGAGATCATACGAAAAAAAAAGCTTAGACTCTGTTTGGATGTAGTATTAAGAAACTGCTTTAGAATCCACGTGCAAAACTTCAGTTTAGAGAAAACCCATTCCGCGTGGGGTTTATAAAACTCCAAAAGGCTACAATTTTAGCAACGCTATGGTTTTCAAAACCATAAAATCTGTTGGTATTTTACATAGCCACGATATTTTTAACTCCAAAAATATTTTGCGTCCAAACAAATGTGCTATCGAACTAGACACGTGCCTGTTCACTGAGGCCAGTCATGTACAATTCGACCTTCGATCAGACATTCAAACTACGCTCACAAGGATACGGTGGTTGCTGAACGCTGACAAGAGAATGCGAAAAAACCCGGGAAGGAGGCACAGGCACCTGGCACCCACCTTGAGGATTTGCCCCACGCCCGCTTCGGTCCCGGCCTCGCCGGGGTCGCGCCCGGAGAGACGGGTGACGACGCGGCTCCTCGTGGGCGCGGCCACGCGGGGGTCATCACGCCGGCAGTTCATGCGGCGGGAGAAGCTGCTGCCTCGCGGCGCCAAGCTTGAGCTGGGCCCGGGGCCGCCTCGGGGCGGCGCGGTTGGAGTGGCCACGGGCACGGCGACCGCGCAGGCTCCCGCCATGGACGCGACGCAACAGGCGACAGGCGAGCAGCTCGACGGGAAACGGGCTCGACGGAGCGCGACGTTATCCAGATCAGATTGGGCTAGTGGGCCGCCACCGTCTCATTTCCGGCCCAAACCAATATTAGGCCAATCGCGAAGTGGATGGATAAGAAAGCTGTGCGAGCGGAACGATGCGCCACTTGCAGAGCTTGCCTGGGAAGCGAAGCGCGAGAGCAATGGCGTCGCCGTCGTGCGCCTCCACGCTGCCCTGGACCTCCGCCTCCTCCTTGCGGCCCTCGGCAGAACGCCGCCTCATGGCCTCTCGCCGGGCTCCGTCGCTGGTCATCGTCGCCCAGGGGAAGGTCAAGAAGTACCGCCAGGTCGCCCCGTGGCTCCCCAAACCCGCCCCTGCTTCTCCCCTTGCTTTTCGCTTCCCCCATTACTCTTGTAATAACTTGCGCCTACGGTAGCTTTCGTTCCATGCCATTTAGGGCTGTAGATAGATTCGCGCCTCTTGCTTTGGGCCAATCAATCCGGGATACTTTCAGCGTGTTCTTCTGTTCAAGTTCTCTGCGCATTTCATTCTTTCAATTTTGCCATCAATTAGTGCGTGCGGGTTGTGGAGGGCGTGAAATTGAGTCCTCGTTGGTAACTTTTTGATGAGAAATCCATGTTCATGTTACATGAGTGCTAACCAATAGGACATGTCAATACCTGTTTTATTTTAGTTTTTTTGTCCAAACCGATGCACTGCCCATCGGTACGTTTGTACATTCTGATCAATAGATAAAAAGGAAGTTAGTTAGCTGTCTCACTGGCAACGGGTAATATACAGTGGCTCGCACAATCTAGATGCTTCAAGAGTTGTACTACTTCTAATCAGGCTTTTAGGCAGGGGATTCAGACACTAGGAATTACTTTTAGCGGGAGCCTCGCCTCACTAGTCGGAGTTAAATGCACAAGTAGTTCATTTTGTTGTGGTTGCTTGATTGTACAAGAATGCAACAAAGTTGCATCCAGTTAAATTGACAATGTTGTACAGCACCGAGCTGTACTTCACCTGCTCATCTTGTGTATCTATTGTTGCTATCCTTAGCATTACATGTAATTTACTTTTCTTTTAAAAGAAAAATATCTTCCCCATAGGTCATACTGACAGATGACATAGAAGCAGTGGGGAAGAAAGGAGATACAATGAAGGTGCGAGCTGGATTCTACCGCAACTTCCTCCTTCCCAAGGGCAAGGCTACGCTTCTAACCCCAGAAGTCCTCAAGTAATTTCACACTCACTGCATTGTAGTAATTTCACACTCACTGCATTGTAGCCCTTGGTTATCCCACACTTGCTTTGTTACTTATGTTATTTAATTGCTGAGTTCCACATATTTTCCTTACCTGCAAATTCCACTCTCTATCAAATGATTCAGTGGCTGCTGACAATTGTAAACCTTATGACCTTCTCTATGATATGCTTAGTTTGGTTTGGGACCTAGCAATCTAGATTGAGATAGGAATCCATGCACCTTTCTTATAGAATTCTGGTAATATATATTAAATGGTCAACACACATAATGTTTGATTGGATGTGTAAATAAGACTGTGAAAGAATTTCTTTCCTCTACTTCTCTTTGCAGGGAAATGCAGCTAGAACAGGAGAGAATAGAAGCTGAGAAGAAGCGGGTAAGAAAAATATTTCACTCAGTAATAAATGCAGTTGCAATTTAACCTCAGCGTCCTTTTTTTGTCTTGAGAGTAAACTTTATCCTTGCTGTCCTTATCAAAAGAAAATATAGTGCCTTTATGTCCTCCAAATTTGAAGTCCTAAGCATGATATGTTCATCAAATTCTATGAATGCCATTGGTGGGTTAGTACTTACCAATTTTTGTTGATAATTATGGCCTTCAGAATTTCTCTACTTACATAGGTAAAAGAAGACGCACAACAACTTGCCCGAGTTTTTGAAACCATCGGGGCTTTCAAGATTCCTCGCAAAGGTGGAAAAGGAAAACAAATCTTTGGGAGGCAAGTTCTAAGTTGGATAATCCTTTATCTATTCTCTGTTGTCTTACTTTCAGTTTTCTGACAATATCCTTTATTGTACACAGCGTCACAGCACAGGATGTTGTTGACATAATAAAGTCACAACTTAATAGGTATAAGCTCATGCTCCTAACTCCTAAGCAATCTTAATAGCATTTCTCATTGTTATTGCTTTTCTTACTGCTGGCATGCTGTGTCATGTAGGGATGTCGACAAGAAACTGGTGACAGTTCCAGAAATCCGTGAAATCGGAGAGTATGTTGCAGAGATCCAGCTTCACCCGGATGTGACAGCTCAAGTAAGGCTGAATGTCTATGCAAAATGAGCTCTGCAGTTGCAGAAATTGAGAGTAGATGTTAGACTTTGGCAAAGCCTGATTTCGCCAGGTGAGCTGATTTGCAATTGCCCTGCCTTGATATTTGGCTCTTAGGATTCCGGTGATCTTGCTCTTACATAGTCGTTTTTGTTTGGTGCAGAGATTTTGCTGAAAGTGCCAGGTGCTGTGGTAGACATGGAGGCCCGGTCTGGCCTAGCCTGGTTTTGATCCACAATTCACTGCACATCCTATATTCCTACCCTGTAAAGTCAGATTTCGACAAGAATCTCTGTTGATTTCATGAGTTGAAAAATAGAAATTGTTGTGAAGCACAATTGTTGATTTCAAGAGTTGAAAAATATAAATTGTTGTGAAGCACAATTGGTTTGAACTCTAGAGCATTACCTCCTTCGACTGCATTCGGTTGTTCACCAAAATCGATTTTTTTTCTTGTATACTCTCACCTCCCCAAGACCCTGTCTACCGCCTGATCGACTACCAAAACGCAATTTGCTGGAACCGGTTCGCCATAGCTTTGCGTTATCCAGATTAGGCTGCCAGTCTGATAGAAAAACTGCTTTTCTTTTAGCCCAAAGGAATGCAGACTGGGCGATCAGCGATCTGATACAAATTCACGCAAACAACCAATTATATCCAAAAAATGAATGTTCTTCTAATAAGGAATGCAGACTGGGCGATCAGCGATCTGATACAAATTCACGCAAACAACCAATTATATCCAAAAAATGAATGTTCTTCTAATAGATAAGTGTCGTGAAAATACGTATGTTGTGTTGGATTTACAATCATACAAAAGGGATCATGTTCAGAACGATGATATACGTGATAGATTAGGGATATCATCAATTGAAGAAAAACTTGTCCAACACGGTTAAGATAATTTAGACATGTCAAACAGAGACCTCCAGAGGCACCGGTGCGTAGTAGAATCCTAAACCAGTATAGTAACGTGAGGAGAGACAGAGGAAAACCGAAGTTGACTTGAGTAGAGACAATAAAAAAAGACTTAAAAGGATAAAATATACCTAAAAGCTTAGCCTTAGATGAGAGTGCTTAGAAAACAGCTATTCACGTGTCTAAAACTTAATTGCTACTGCTGGTTTTCAACTCTAGCCTCCCCTCCCCAAACTTATTTAGGACTTAAATGCTTTGTCGTCGTCGTCGTCACAAAGTTGTCAAAACTAAGACACCGACATAACTTCGGAATAGCAGTACAGCTGAGGTGGCTCCGCGCTTCTCTTACAAAATCTTTTTGCTTCTGCTAAATGAACTACCAGTACAACTAAACAACCAGCATAATAGGCATGGCAAAACATCGGCATTGCACAGAGCTAGAAATAGCTTTTCCGCTTACGCCCGGTGTACTTCGTGTCGGCGGGCACGTCATGTCCTCTTCTTCTCATTTGCTCCTTTTTCCTCAAGAGCCAATCCTTGCCTTTACCGTTCTTTTTCGTCTTCTGACGCTTCTTCGGCCTATTCCTTTCATATATGCCCACCTGCATGAAGATAAAATTTCATCCAGTGCTGGCATGATACTGATACACGTTCACATGGTAGAACAATCATAAGATAAGCATAAGAAATGGGAGTAAAAAACAAGAAACTATGATATTGCAAAGATTGCTGATCAAGCATAAAGAGTCAGTATTTAACTACTGGATCCAAGACAACAGCAGTGTCTATACTCATAGCATTAGAGACTATGAATTAGTATGTAAAACCAAAGAAGCAAGTTAGTCATTTATTTTAAGGATCTCCACTATACTATATAATCATGTAATACAAATCCAGTGCAGCTAGTTCTGCAGTAAGCACTTATGAGTAACCGAATTGCTTCAATCTGAGATTCATTCGTAAAAACCTGATACCTTATTAAAGAAAAGTAAAGGGTGATTATCAGGACAAACAAAAACAAGAAAAGTAGTAGACAGAAAAAAATGAGATAACGTCAAAACAGTAACTAGATCCATGATTATGTACAAGAACTGTGTTACGTGAAGTGTTAGCTTACTGTTCTGTCGCCATCTTCATCACTGCTCTCATTATCATCATCATCGTCGCTGCACATCTCACCATTTTCACCTTTACCCTTCGGAAGTGATGTATTAACCGAAGGTGGTCCACAAGTGAGGACAAGGTAGGACTTCTTCGCTTTGGAACTGTCAGAAGAAAGGCATGCTCATAAGCAGAGACATGAAATTTGTAGGACTGTTCATACTCCATTGTTACAAGGTAACTGAATCCTTACCTATGAGGCCAGTCAACAACCACTCCACCAGCAAAACCAGCACGCATGGCAGCAGTCACAATCATTTCACTCTGCTTCACATTATCAGCATAAAACTGTAGAACAGCTCTTGCTCCCCTTGCTAGGCATCTATATAACGAACCGAAGAAAGCCCTGCAAATTCCCATGTTGAAGTTTAAAACAGGTAGCAGACAATCTAAAACAATATAAAATAAATCTTTAGGTACACACTTTAACCGCAATCTTGGATCATGAGAAGATTTGTCAGCATTGCATAACCACTGCACAACAACAACAACAACAACAACAACAACAAAGCATTGCATAACCACTGCACAAATAGGCAAAAAAGGCACAGTTCTGAACTGACAAATTCTGAAGGAGATAAGCATGATCAGTTAGCTGCAACAGTTATCGCTTCAAGAATACCTGAACCGCTGAAATACTAATTGCACCATCGATAATTCCTGGCCGCAAGCCCAAGCCCTAGAACATTAATTAAGCAACTTTGAAAAGACCAGTGCAGTTGCATTAAGCAAACATTAAGAAACTTGGAAATATTTATGGTTCATAAAACCCAGCATGTGCGATAAGTCAATTCTACACCTTTTCAGGTTATCAGATTCAATATTCTTGTAACTCTTGTAAAAGTTTGAACTATGAAGGCCCTTTTATCTTTACAGTGCTGGACTGACTCAGAAATATCATGTTCAATAACACAAGTGATGTGCATTGTTATTACTACAACTAAGGCTGATTTAGAGTTTAGACCACGTACAACTCAATATGGTATTATTGTACAAGTCTTGAATTTCCCTTCAACCTTCATGATATACAGCGAATATCGACATCTGAAACTATTCCTAAAAACAATGAAACTAAAATTTACAAATATACGTTCGTTGGCATAGTGCTCCTTATACCTGTCCCATATCTGCAAGCAGGAGGTCTCCTTCTGTTTCACGCTCCAAGGCAACATCTGGTGCAAAACAGTGAAGTTCTAAGGAAGCAGGCACCAGAGCAAAATATCTTGAAAGCTCCCCTCCTCTAAACACCCAATTCCCTTTCCAATTGGTGCCAAACAAGCCTACTAGAAGGGAACATAGAGAGGTCCTCACCGAGCATCGACCTTGAAATATCATAGCCAATCCAGTGGTGGCCATGCTCCGTCAATGTCTCACCACTAAGCCCGGAACCACATCCTGGTAATCACAGCACACAAAGTCATCGTAGGTAAACATATCTTCAAACATATGTCTTTCATTTGCCACAACCGATAGCAATTAAGAGCTCCCACAGAATGTATTTTTGCCCCCGTCAAAGCAGAATACTTTCTGGTGTTCTAGCCAACGCGATATGCCATGATTCCTGAAGCAGAGCTGCAGAAGAGGGTAAGCTGACCTATGTCGAGAAGCATCTTGGGGACGCCATCGTTGGGGAGAGCGAGCAGCTCAAGCGCCCTCTCGGAAATCCTAGACTGAAAGAAGGCATGCCACTTCGCATCAGCGCCGCGAAATCGGCATAACTCAAATCAAACAGGGGGAGGCGCTTCGCTTGCTCACCTGGATTTCGATGATACGGGAGGAGGTGGTGTACTTGCGGGCCTCCGACTCGTTGTAGAACACATCCGGCGGCGCCTGGAACTCCGGCCGAGGCATCCTCACTCTCCTCCGAGTTGCTCCTCTCCTCGGTTTCTATCCTCGCAGGCACAAACGCCGCCGCCGCCGCGGCCGCCGAGGTGGGTGGTTCGGTGTGCTCGCGCGCCGCAATGCCGCTGGCTATCGGTCTCCTCATCACGCGGTCGCGGAGATGGTTGCTTATTGGGCTGTTAGCGGGCCAAGCGGGACATTTACATGGGCCTCAAAACAGTCGGCCCAGTAAAGCGTGACCTTTATAAATCCTCCCACACATCTAGCTAGGTTATCGTTCGGAGCCGCCGCCGCCGCCGCCGCCGCCGCAACAGCCCGAGTCGCTCGTCAGATCCTCCGAGCACTACAGCTCGGCCGCCGCCACCATGGGTAACGATGTCCTCGTCTTCGTCTCTATCTCTACTTTGCGTGCATCCCGCCAATAGCCGTTTACTCAGATTGGTCTATCTGCTTCTGGCGCAGGTAAGGTTCACGGATCGCTGGCCCGCGCTGGGAAGGTGCGTGGGCAGACGCCCAAGGTGGCGAAGCAAGACAAGAAGAAGAAGCCCCGTGGCCGCGCGTACAAGCGCATGCAGTACAACCGCCGCTTCGTCACCGCCGTCGTCGGGTTCGGCAAGAAGCGCGGCCCCAACTCCTCGGAGAAGTAGATCAGCTATGGCTTGTGTTTTGTTCCCCTACTAGTTTTCTTGTACTAATGGCAAGTTGAAGACTTGTGCTATTATCTGTATCGATGTTACTGCAATACTATCAAGTACGATGCTGTTACTGCAATACTATCAAGTATGATATGCATCGCTTAGTTGTTCAAGTTGCCTGAGGTGGTGATCTTTTCCATTATCTGGAATGGTGGAACATGTTGTTCTGTGTTCGTCTTGTTTTGAATATCTAATTCGCTTGTTTGGTGACACAGGAGTCTAAATGTTAATGCAATACTATGAAGTATGATGTGCATTGTTTAGATTGATCTTTTTGGTGATCTTTTTGGTTATCTGAATGTTGGAAACATGTTGTGTCGGTCTGTGTCTTGTTTTGAACATCTAACTCGTGTGGTGGTGATCTTTTTTGGTTATCTGTATGTTGGAAACATGTCTTTTTTGGTTATCTGAATCTGACTGTTGGAAACATGTTGTATCGTTTGTTTGGTGACACAGGAGTCTAAATGTCAGTCTAGTTCGTGAAAGTTGGTCTGCTTGATTCTGAAATTGGTGAAAGTTTTCAGTTGGTCTTGCTTGATTCTGAAATTTGTGAAAGCAGAACTGTTTTGTGCAATTGTGATCAGTAGGCTGAGCAAATTATCTGAATTTTGGCAGGAATTTGACTGTTAGTCTAGTTGTTTTGTTGGCCACACTTAAATTGGCATGAATGAAATTAGATAGATTGTGCCATTTTGCTCAGAAGCCTTACATATATGAGTTCTGTCTGGAGCATATGATGTCCACATCAAATGAACTGATCCTTGCATATATGAGTTCCGTCTGGAGCATCTGATGTCTACAAATGAAACAATCCTCGCATATATGAGTTCCGTCTGGAGCATCTGATGTCCACACCAAATGAAGTAATGAACCAATCCTTCTAGAACATTGGTGGTTTATTTGCTTGTTTAGAATAGAAGCAGAGCTCTAGAACCTGGACTGAAGGTAGAGCTCTAGAACCTGGACTGTCTGTCTGATTGGCTGTTGTTTACTTTGTGGCACTGAAATTAGCAGTGGGGTGTCTGTCTACTTCTCTAGACAAGTTAAAGGACCTCTGCTATCATCTGTGTTGATGTTAGCACAATCCCATTTAAGTATGCTATGCATGATTTGGTTGATCAAGTATTCAAGTTGCCTGTGGTGGTGATCTTTTTGGTTATCTGATTGCTGGAAACATATTTTATGGTTCTGTGTTAATCTGCGTTTCAACAGCTAATTCTCTTGTTTTGGTGACACGTGAGTCTGTTTGTCAGTCTAGTTTGTTTCGGTTAATCCTGCTTGGCACTTTAATTGGTGAGGGTCAATTGGTTTGTGCTTGTTCAATTGTGGTCAGTAGATAGAGTGAGAAAGTTGTCTAAATTTATGGCAGGAATTTGACTGTTATCTAGTTTGTTTTGGTTCGTCTTGAGTGGGCACACTGAAACTGGCAGGAGTGAAATTAGATGCCATTTTGCTAAGAAACCTCGCAAATGTGATGTTCTGACCAGAGCATCTGACTTTTGACTGTTAATTTGCTTCCTTAGGTAGTAGCAGAGCTCTATACTTGTTTAGGCAGTAGCAGACCTCTAGAATCTATATTGTCTGTCTATTTTGCTTCAGTTTATTCTGCGAAGTTCTTATCTACGTCGGAAGTTCTGTGCAGTAAGGATTGGAAATAAGAACCAACAGAAGTAACTATAGGACAAATGCAAAATAAAAAAAAAACGGGATAAAAAACCCGGATTTGAGTGTAGAAAAGCTGCATATGTTTATGACATTTTACAAAGCAGAAAGCACTCTTGCATGATTTCTGCTACGGCGCATGTCAAATTTTATGCATTTAGAACTAATTGATCAACTGAAGTTTTGGGTTGCTATACAAAAATAATTCAGAAGAAATCGTACCTTGTGCCATAGGATAGCAAACAGAGTATCTAGGTGCGTATTGTGTATGAAACATGAAGAAAGAAAAAACTACACACATTAATATAAGCAAATTGTATTAGTTATGTAGTTTTTTTTTTGGCAAACAGGAGGGGCGTGCCCCTTCTGGATTTATTAAAAGAAAAATAGTAGAGAACAAGAGTGTTTCAGGAAACAAAAGAAGATACAAAGAAAATAAAAAAGATCACAACTATGCTTCTATCCATAAATCTATGGGAATAACTAGCGCCCGGACGTCCAGCCCTAGGCCCGCGTCCGGACGTAGCTCCGCCGCACACTGTTCCGTCCCCCGCGTAACAGAGCGTCCGTCGCGCCTGTGTAACAACAGTGGAGCCCGCCCGCTCGCCACGCTTGTGTCACCTCCATAGTCAAGGTCTGCATGTCTGTCGTGCGGGGAGATGCCACAAGCTTCTACTCCAGGACCTCCGACAGGGCCAACAGAGGCAGCATGTCATACAGGAATGGGCCGCGTGCGCCAGCGCGGACGCCTGCGCGTCCTCCGGTGGAGCGCTGCCGCCGGCTTACAGCCGCCGCCGCCATGGCTCCCGCACTAGCTCTCTCTTCCTCGTTAAACAACCCTACATTGAGATATACTTTTGCAACACTCAGATGAAACAATTGCAACATACGACTGAAACAGATGAAACATTTGGAATATACACGTGCAATATAGTCATTATAACATATGCACCATCCAGATAGAACACTTGCAACATACGTCTGAAAACACATGAAACATGTTGCAACATATGTGTGAAACATATGCGAACATCCAGATTAAAACGCTGGCAACATACGTATGGAGCAGATGAAACATTTTGAGCAAATGCTTGCAACATGCCTCTAAAACACTTGCAACATTCATAAGAAACAATTACAACATACCTTTGAAATGACTGAAACACTTGAAACATACATTTGCAACATAGGGGAAAAGAAGCCTGGGCCGATCGATTCCAGCCGTCGGGGTCGAGGTGTCATAGCCGGTGGCGAGTGGCGGCGCATGAGCACCACCAACACCCAGTACCAGTGGTGCGCGTGAGCACCACCACTAGCCAGCGCCACCAGCACCGGCCTTGGCTCAGCCTGGCGGGCAGCGCGTGCTACGAGAGGGAGCGGGCGGCGCGGCGCACGGACAAAGCGAGGAGCGAGGTGCGGGTGGGGCGCGCGACGGGCAGGGGAGAGGAGAAAGGAGTGAGGAGCGAGCGGCGCGGGTAGGGCGCGCGACGGCGAGGGAGAGAGGAGCGGACGAGCGGCGCAGGGTCAGGGCTTGGTGGGTGAATGCTGAGCAGAGTGAGCGACGATGTCTGGATAAGAGTAAGAGACGGAGGGAGTTAAAGTTGTGGTGCACGTCACGCCACGCGTCTGTCTGGAGGGAGTCACTGGCGTCAGACGTCCTGTTCGTAGCATTATTGTAAATCTATTAGAGGGAAGTATTTCTTTTTTCTCTATGGATAACCATAGCAAACTCGTAGAATAGTGATCTCCATGAAGAAAAAGGATGTGTAACTGCCTCTTGAAATCTGCAAAAACTACAGCGACGGCAGTGCTGCACCGCTCAACATAGGACAGTTTTTTTGAAGGTGAGGGGTGGGATGGAGAGCTGTTGGAGATGCTCTAATATACTTGTTAGTGATGACGGAGTCTGATTGTTACTCTAATTTGTTTCCGTTAATCCTGAAAGCACGGGAGTCTGATTCTTAGTCTAATTTGTTTCAGTTAATCCTAGGCGACACTCAAATTGTGACAGTGAGATGAGTGGGAAAACGAAGTGACTCCATAGTCATGATATAGGGACTATTTGGTTGGCAGCCCTCCCACGCCACGCTATATGTGTGGCAGCCATGCAACTTTTGTCAATTGTTTGGTTGACGAGCCAACTTAGGCAGCCACGGTTCCTGCAGAGACAAAACTCGCCACACTCTGTGACGGATGATTTCCATGCCACAAGTTGTGGCTGCGCCACACATAGGGTGGCAAATGATGGCTGTCATCCAAACAGCCTCATAATTCAGAAGAAATCGTACCTTGTGCCATAGGATAGCTAAGAGAGTATCTAGATACGTATTGTATTTGAAACATGAAGAAAGAAAAAACTACACACATTAATATAAGTAATTTGTATTAGTTATAGGTATTTTTGAGGCCAACAGGAGTGCCGCGCCCCTACTGGACTTATTAAAAGCAAAAGAGTAGAGAACATGAGTGTTTCAGGAAACAAAAGCAGATAGAAAAAAGATTACAACAATACTTCTAGCCATAAATCTATTAGAGGAAAGTATTTCTTTTTTACTCTATGGATAACCATAGCAAACTCATTAATGAAAGGGCGTGGCTAGCGTCCGGACGTCCGCCATCGCCCACCCTTGTCCGGATTCGCCACGCCCCACGGGCGCACTCCGCCCCCCATATTTGTGCCCGCCGGCCATTCCCCAGACCCGCTCCTCGCTCTCTGCGTGGACGACACTCGAGAGACGGGACCCGACGTGCCCTCGAGCGGAGCACCCGTCCGCCCAGCCCCAGCGCCCCCGTTTTGCAGCCCCCTCCCCCCCGGCACGCCGCGCGCACCGTCCTCCTCCCCCCCGACTCGCCCCCGACCGAACAACATAAAACACTTGCAACATGAAAAAAATTGAATGCAACTTACGTCTAAAAAGAGATGAAACACTTGGAACATGCACTTGCAACATGTGTGTGGAACACATAAACATCCAAAAAATAACACTTGCAACTTGCAACATAAAACCACTTGCTGCAACATGAGGCTGAACTGTTGTGAAACATACTGTTCAAACATATGTGTGAAACATATGCAACATCCAGATAAAAAACGATTGCAACATACGTCTGGAAACAGATGAAACATTTTGAACAAATGCTTGCAACATGCATTTGAAACACTTGCAATATAAGCAATATGTGCAACATCCCCCGATCTACTTTTGCAACATCAAAATGGAACAATTGCAACATACAACTGAAACGTCTGAAACAAATTAAAACATATGCAACATAGGGGACGGGAAGGCCGGGACTGGTCGATTCCAGCCGTCAGGGTTGAAGGAGCCGGTAGTGAGCGGCGGCGCGCGAGCACCACCGCCACCAACAACGGGCTTGGCTCGACCGGGCGAGCACACTAGCCCCAGCACCGGTCTTGGCTCGGCCGGTCGAGCTGCGCGCGCGATGGGCGGAGCGAGCACCACCAGAATCAGCGCACGCGACCGGAGGGGGCGAGAAGCACTCGTGACAGGCGCAAGCGAGCGGCGTCGGATGGGGCGTGCGGCAGCAGCGAGGCATAGTGGCATCCGCGTTTAGGACGGGACGGACGGAGTGGCAGCCGCAAGGCGATCTGGCGAAGAGGAGGGAGCGGAAGGGATAAGAAGGTTTTTTCTTTGTTTTTAAACGGTTGGGGGCGAGGGCGAGTGAATGAGCGGTCGTTGGGCTGCGTCGCGGCCCACCATCGGCACCACCCGGGCGGACGGACGCCCTGTACTCTGCATTACTGTTAATGAAAATACATTTCGCTCTCTTCAAAGTAGGTTGAACTCCTCTGGAAATAGAGCATCATTCCGATCTGACCAAATGCTCCAACGCTTCAGCAGAGTAGAATAATGATCTCCATGAAGAAAGAAAGGGACCTGTAACTGCCTCTTGAAATCGACAAAAAACTTCATAAGGCTAACTAAGAGGATCAACAATATGTAGTGGAATAAGGCTCCAACAACCAGCAGCAAACTAGTAATGCAAGAACATGTGGTCCAAGTCTTTTTCACCATCAACTGAACAAAGGACATAGGAGTAAGACTGGAGCTCCATATGGCGTCTCCGGGGCATATTTCTTGTACTAAGGCGATCCTTTAACAAGAACGAGAAAAAGACTTTATGTTTTGGTTGGCATGAACATGACCATAGCCAAGAAAAAACAGCAGGAGTGGTGTCATGCCCGATGAGTGATCATCTATACTCTTTCCTTGAAGAAAACAGAGGGGAGCCCCAAAATATAGGTATCAAATATGAACATAATAATGTTTCATATCTCATATGATTTTTGCCCATGTGGAAGCATAGGTTGATGGACTAGTTTATTAAATTTTTATGTGACTGATTTAGGCACAACCAAAATATGCATTATTCATATATGGCTTACAAGAGAAACACTAGACCCATCGCCAGGCCAACAGTTTGCCTTACACATTATTCATAGTTTTTCGGAAAGAAACAAGATACTATTCTCCACATACATCTCAACAGCTTTTAACCTTTTATTCATAAAAACATTCAAGGATCACCATGGAATCGTCGTCATCAAACACACGAGCAGTGCTCCCCTGCTCACTAGAAGGGAGCCTTCTTCTCACTAGGAAGGAGGATGTCATTCTTTTCCTGCAAAAAAAGAGAGAACATCTTTCATGTTCATAGACCAATTTCCATGAGCAATAATAAGTTGACGATGGCGAAAGTAAAACTTGCCTCGGCTGGCATGGGTTCGCCCTTGAGGAATTGCGTGAACAAGAGGAACGCTTGCGCCGGACGGTGCACGGGAACCAGGTGCCCGGCGCCGCGGACGGTGATGTAGGTCAGGCCTTCATATTGCACGCTCCAGCCACCAACCTATATATATGTTTCATATATATATATATATTTCATCAGTCATCACAATGTATATTTATAAAATGGCCATGGAGGAAAAGGGATAAAAAAACTCAGGATTAATTCTGAGGTATATATGAACCAGGCGTTATCAACACTGACCTCACGCTCGGTTGGGGCCATGTACCAGGGGTACCAGCTAGTTTTAACAGGAAGGCCCAGGGCGGCAAGAGAGCGCCTGGTCGAACTCACAGGCACTACACTGTCCGTGTCACCACTGAAAAGAGCAAAACTCATGCATTTTTAGTTGTTTCTAGCCAGCCAGTCAGCAGCTTATATATACGCCTACCTGAAGACCCAGAACCTGAGGCCAGCTTGAATGAGCTCCCTGTAGACGGGTAGCAGGTCATCGGCTGCCTGTCCCCAGTTATCAAATATGGTATTGCTGCAGACCAAATAAAGAATATGTGGGTTTTGCCCACGAAAATGAATTCAGTATCTACGGCGCCAATTTATGTATATTGTGTAAAAAACACTGTTGAAAAAATAAAAAACTAGAGATGAGAGACCTGCATACAGCCCATGGGTACTCTATGATGCCACTGATGTTGGCATGTAAGGCCTTCTGCACCTCGGGGAGGTTCAAGTAGTTGATGGAGTTGAAGACGGCGCAGGGGTCGTAGGGGGGCAGCATCAATGGCGGCGGCTGAACGGTAGACCATCAAGAAGATCACCCATCGCGAAATTAATTAAAAAAAAGAAGTTAAAATGAGTCATTGTTATATATAAAGAAGATTATCAATTGCGCGCTGCTGGTTGAAGCGTAAAGTGTTCATGGCAACAGCTTACGGCGTGGCCGCGGGGCGTCCAGAACCTGCGCTGGTATGGACTCTCCTTGCCGCACGTCGGCGTGTAGATGGTGTAGGGGTTGATGTGGCCTTGCTCCGCCAGGGCCTTGTTCCACACCTCAGTGCACTCCGGTGTCGGGTGCATGAAGGAGGTCCCCGGGCAGACCTTGAGCCCGCTGTCCAGGGTCTCGTCGGAGATGAGGCCATGGTGCCACCAGGACTCGAACATGCCGATCATGTCTTCGTGGTCGTTGGTCAGACCACTTGAGACCAACAAGCCTTGGAAGTTAATGAAAGGGGCGTTGTTCCTGTACACAACCTGGGCGAGCTGAGGAATAAAGTGACCTGCAAATTAAAATACTTCACAAATTAATGCATGCACAACAGTACCTGCAAACACTATGCATGTGCGTATGTGCTCAAATACCATGATATGAAATGAAATGAAACTTGAGACATCGACCGAATTATTAATGAAGTATAAAAGATAATGCAAAGTAACCACTGAATTTAAAGTTCTCACATCTGCCATCATGAAACATAATGTAAAGTAACCCCTTAATTTAATTTATATCTAAATTAACCATTTCTATCATTATAAAAATACATTAAAATATCGCTCAAATCTATGTATCAATACCCACATAAGCTATAATGGAAAATAGTCCAATAAATTTAAAATATGCTATATATATTTCTAAATTATCAATTTGTACCATTTTTAAACTAAAAAATAAGCATAAATAGTATTTGCCACTATGTACACCAAGTGAACATGCATACATTAGGATAAATATTTATTCTAACTGTTTATAAATAATGAAAATGTTTCATTAAGAAACACAAAATAATGGCACTAATCGTTCACTTTAAATCATTTGGATAAGAAAATACAACAAACTAATAATATCAAAATTTGAAAGCCAAAAAATAGATTTATTATGTCATAAAAAGGATGCAACAAGAGGTGATATGACTTAAATCAGATTAATCCCCTAAATAAACATCTACTATTAATGTCTATCATTACGAAAGAGAATTTAATGTAGCCTAAATTTTCTTTTAAATTATCTATGTATGCTATTATGAAATATAATATAAGGTAATCCCTCTAATTGGCATGTAAATTACCCATATCTTCCATTACAACACATAAAGTAAAGTATCTCTAAAATATATATCTAAGTTACCGATAGAAACAGTTATGAAAAATAATCAAATAACCACATAGTACACTATATATGTTTCTAAATTACTTAGTTCTATCACCGTTACACATTCAAAGTAAACATAAAATCTATGTGTCGCCATGTATACTAAGTATATGCATACATACATTAGAGTTAAATACATAATTATAGTTTATCGGTCATGGAAAAAATGTTCCATTATATTAACATATTATGTACCAATATAATAAGGTAATCACACTGACATTTGATTTAAATTATATTAAAAACATATGATAATAATAATACTATAAGATTTATGAAAGATTGTAGACAATGTTAGAGCACAGGTTGATAGGCCAGTTGTACTAATTTGATATTGTTGTTTTATCCTATAGATAAATTTGGTCAAACCTTATACAGTTTGATTTTTTTTTTACAAATTTAGAACTAGCTATATTTTAGAATGGAAAGACTAATATTTTTGGTGTGCTTTTTAGTGTAGTGGATATATATATAGAGAGAGAGATAGAGAGACAAATCTCTGTCCTCCAAACAGCCTCTCGTATATACATTAACAAAAATGGTACTACTGACCGCTCTCCCCGGCAATATAGAATTCGCGGTACTTGTAGTGCGGGAATCTCTCGAACCATTTCACCAGGAAAGTGTACGTGTCCTGGGCTGCAATGCAAAGAATTAGTATAGAAAAAGACACACGTGTGTGTATCATCATGAAATTTATGACAAAGAAGAGAATACTAAGATTTACTACAAATTTGACAACTGATTACCGTATATCATCACATGATGGTGAGTGCCGTCACGAGCTATCGTAATATATTCAAATTTTAGATAACTAGTACAAAGTTAATTATAGTGAATTTAGGTATGACTATAAAATATATAGTAAATTATATGCTCGCTACATAAAAAAAGTCATCCTAGGTTTTGTCTTAGTCAAACTTTTTAAAATTTGACCAAATTATAAATAATATTACAACATTTGTATCATCAAACAAGTTAGTTAAAAAATATATTCGTTGATAAATTTAATGATACTCTTATATATAATAAATATTAGTATTTATATTTTTTTGTCGAAATTTGATAATATTCAATTTCTTGACAAGTGAGAGTGATGTTCATTTTGAGACACGGACTGTACATATAAATGGGTAATCAATATTTGTCATATGGTTTTCACCTACCCATTTTGTCGTCGCCCATGGATAGGTCGGAGCTGGTGTTGCAGTAAGAGAATCCCACACCGGCCGGCGACTCTACGAAGAGTATGTTCGCGGCTGCATGCATGAACGAACGTATGGTGACATATACTACATGTGATACGAGGTCCACCACCACATGCATGCATGCGGCATCTATTAGTGCAGCCTTTGTTCCATGCATACTAGCTAGCTAGGTACCTTTGTTCCATGCGTACTCGTTGAGCAACAGCCTCTCGCCGTTCGTGTGGACGCGGAACGCGCCGAGCTCCTGCATGGCTCCTAGGCCGACGGAGGAGCACCCAGGCCCGCCGTTGAGCCAGAGGACGAGCGGCGCGCCCCCCGGCTCGTCGGCGTTGGCCTCTTGGAACCAGTAGTAGAGCGCGCGGCCGTTGTGGTCGTCGATGGTCACGTAGCCGCCGTACATGCCGAACGCCACGCCGTTGGGCTGCCCCGGCAGCCCTAGGATGCGGTCGCCCTCGCGCTTCTTCTTCTGCTGCTTGTCGTGCTCGGGTGACCGGCGCGTGCGCGCGACCGGCGAGAGGAGGAGGCCAGCGGCGCCGGCTAGTGCGAGTAGGAGCGTCGTGGTCGTCGCCGTGGCGCGCCATGTCGAGCCGTACATGCCGGAGGAGCTGATGACGACGGCCATGTTTGCTTGATCTTGGCCCCCTCGACTGGCTATGCCGCCTATGCAGTATGCCTACGCATATATATAGGAGGAAGCAAGTAAGATTCACCTATATCTCCCACAACTAAAAAGACTAAAGAGTGGACACTTTTTGATGCGACATTCCAACGTGGACCCATGGTTCTGCCCGTTGTGATCCCGCACCCCCCGCTACGACGTCCTACCCCCGTCCGTGCGATGTCATACCCCCATCTCGCACAGTCCTCGTGGAATCCCCCTCGGTCTCCCCACGCGGCCCTCGGGGAATCCTCCTCTCCCCCGACCCGCACCGACTCCTCTCCCCCACGATCCGACGGCTTCCTCTCGCCATGCACCGACGCCCAGCCTGATCCGACCATCGAGGCGACGACGCATGGTGATCACCGACGCAACGGTGATAAGAAATTTAGCATATCTTATCGTGCGATCCGTGTATTTTTTGTATAAAAGTTTAGTTATCCAATAGCAACGCACGGGTATGCTACCTAGTGTATATCTAAGTATATAACAAAAAAAAATATATCTCTTATAATTTGGAATAGAGGGGTTTTGGCATCAAAGAATAAGCTTTACCCACTGACAGATGCCTGTTACTTTATACCAGTATATACTCTGCATGCTAGTAGTTACTAGAGTATGTTCACAGAGTAGATCACAGTAGCAGCTGCACGTGAATTGCCTCGGGACTGCCTTTTTTTTTTCACCTAACAAGCATCACGGTCACAGAGCCTCCATTAACCCCTCGGGACTGGACCGAATCATCTGCTTTGCTACTAATCTGACCGTGAGCTTTACGACCGTGAAGGACGACAAAGATGTCAGAACCTGTCGTACTCATTGTTGTCAGCCAAGGAGCGAGGCCTGGAAGTAAACATTCGTGGGGCTGCTGCTAAAGATTGATCAAGTACAACTACTAACATTCCAAAAATGTCTATGCAAACTGCAGCACTTACATTTAGAAAGCTGCATGTATACCGCATCGAAGTGTGTTGCCTACGGCGTGATGAGAATGGTGAACAAGAATGATACTATGGTGTACCAGAAATTATTTTTTTATAAGGGCATAGCTTGAGAAAAGTGTACGCCGTTGTAGCTATGCATGGATCAAACAATGTAGGGTCTCATGGATCAAATAATTTGAAGGGAGGTTGTAATGAACTTGACTACCATGACCACTTTCTTTAATTTGAACTCCGTGCTTGTATTATGTGTTTAGTGTCCTTTCTTCAAGCAAGCTTGCGTTGATATTTTCATGTAAAATTGGTGCTTATACATCTAAAATGTGGCTCAAAACAACATGTTGCTAAGATCAAGTATATTATAGTGTTTCATGAGAATATGTAATTCTCTGGGCACCACCTAGAATA